GCGCTGTTAGTATAAATTAATATCCCCCTTTCCCCTCCCCCCTGTTTTTTACATAGATTTTTTTTTTATATTACTAATTTTCGATTTACTCTTGAATGCCATTTTTTCCTTTATAGATGTTGCATTTTATGCTATCGAATATTTAATGGTTTCCAGAAGCCTTTCTTTTAAGAACAAATAATTTAATATTATTTAGAGGAAACAATAGAGTGTCGATGCATTTTATAGTTCTTTTTATTTATTTAATTTGCATAGATCTTTTTTGTTCATTTTGTACAGCAAGAGTTTTTTTCCGACTTTACAAATAGGCTTTGCCTTACATTTTTTTTTTCAGTTTGTGATTAACTCTTGAATATTTTATCAAACATAATGTTTATACCTTTAATTTTTATTATTTTATGAATTCAACTTTAAGTTACTTCAACCTATTATTCTCGTATTTATGGTTAAGACATTTCGTATATATGTCTATATCCAATATAGGTATCCAACTATTATTGATAATTTAAGCTTTAATTGTAACTAACAACTGTAATTTCCTCTACTACCTATAGGTCGGTACGATACTTCTATATTGTGATAAATATACTGGCTTGTTTAACTGTTACATCACTTTACTATGGCATCCACTCTTTTGGTTTTCACCTTTTGTATCTTTATTGGTACATATCGTAAGGCTAATTAATCAATATATATATATATATATATATATATATATGAAAGTATATAGGAAGATATATTGTTTCACATATTAGTGAATAACCAGAGAGAATCCCTTTCTGCTCAATGTCTTTTGATGATAGTGAAACTCGACATTATCGGCGATACCGTGATTATTACAAATATGTGGAAAAAAGGGATCCTTTTTATGATTATGGACCTTTCCGTATTGTAACAATTTTGATGGCAGTTGTATTCTTCATCGTTTTATTTATTGGCGTTATGTTGCTGCTTTTTTACGTGTCAGATTTTTTTGAGGAGTACTCATCGTATTCGAAAATCATTCTACGGAGACTTATCGTGGCCGTTTGTCTTATACATCTTCTCATTATGGCAATAGATCAGCTCAGCTGGTGGCGTTCTCTCATAAGCTTATTAGCAAACGCGTTGTATTGGAACTTTGTCCGTAGGTTTCCTCCAGGGCCAAGTGAAAATGTTATTATTTTCCTTGTTACTTTATTTAGCGTTGCGGTTGAATGCATTGCTTGGTGGTTTCTGCTTGTTGGATTTTCGTCTACTAGCATGTTAACAATGAGTCCATTTTTTATTCTTCTTTTGATTGTGCCCCTAGGGTTGCTCATGTCATGCTTGGTGGAGGAGTCATGCTTGCCGGCAGCGGGTGGTGGCCACAGGTCCGACTACGGCAACCTCGATGGTGCCATTGGGAGACATAGAGGTCTTGTCCACCGAAAAACCATTTTTAACACAATTGCAGAGCTGTTCAAATGATAACGACTATCGTAATTTCGTTAAAGATAGTTTTGAGATTTATCAACTCTACTAATTATCGAACTTAATTTGTGAAAATGCAGAGGTAACTGTGACACAATCTTGACCGTTGTAAAGCTCTAAAACAGTCATTTCCTCTCATAGCAGCGCTTCCTTTCTGAAATATCCCCCCCCCCCCCCCCCCCTTTTTACTTCTTTGGGCAATATATCTTTGATGAGAGACCAATACACATACCTTTACATATACACATATACATACTCATACAGACATCATATCAGATGTCCCATTTATACAATGGCCCGACCTTTCGAGCCAGTCAACTAATCACGAATCTTGTATCCAATCCATCTCCTATGCCGGACCTATTGACCGTTTCCTTCGGCACTTACTTTTCACCCCACATGTTAAGTATCGAATTTACCCAACACGACTGGGGCGTGCCGCGGATCGAGCCATTCAAACCTCTATCCCTTCCCCCTTATTCGGCCTGTTTGCACTATGGTCTCGAATGTTTTGAAGGGATGAAAGCCTATTCCGACATGGTGGACATCCAGAAGGTGAGCCAAGGGGAGACCCTGGGTCCCCACCGACGGCTTCGTCTGTTCCGTCCCCAGAAAAACCTGTCACGTTTACAGGAAAGCATGAGGCGGCTGTGTTTCCCTTCTTTTGATACCGATGAGCTTCTGAAGTTGTTGGAGACTTTCGTGCGGATCGAGAAGGACTACGTTCCTATGACAAAAGACTACTCCCTGTACATCCGCCCGACCGTGATTGGGATCGGCAATTGCATCGGCGCGACGGCCGCGGAGAGCGGGATGCTGTTCATCATCGCGTCGCCGGTGGGGTCGTACTTTTCGAAGCCCACCGACGGCTCCGAGGAGGTTTCGCTTCCCCCGGTACGGCTGCTGGTGGATGAGACCAACCGCCGAGCTTGGCCAGGCGGCATTGGCGGTTATAAGCTTGGTGCAAACTATGCCGGGCCGATGCTTATTCAGCGTGAGGCCGTCAAGAAGGGCTTCAAACAGGTGCTTTGGTTGGGACCTAACAACGAGGTCACGGAGGTCGGGGCGATGAACTTTATGATGCTCTGGCGCTCACCGGAGGGGAAGGTGGAGCTAATAACGGCCCCGCTCGACGGCATGATTCTACCAGGCATCACGCGCGACTCCGTCCTGACCCTCATGCGGCAGTGGGGAGAGGTCGACGTCGCCGAGCGCTACTTCACCATCGACGAGATGATCACGGCGATCGAGGAGGGGCGCGTGTTAGAGTGCTTCGGTAGCGGCACGGCTGCAGTTCTGGCGCCGGTGAATATGCTGCGATATCGCGATAAGGATTATTTAATTCCATGTCCTACTGGTAAGGATAGCTTGTGCCTACGCCTTTACAAGTCAATTATCGATATTCAGTATGGTAAATTGCCTAGCGAGTGGTCTTACATCATAGATACATAAGGTTTCATATATCAAGGATAGAACTTAATCGAAATCTCTTTATATTGTTTAGTGTTGGGAAAAACAATGGAAATAGTTAATTAAACTAGAAATTATTTGACAGCTCTATCACTACAGTTGTCCCTTTTCTGCAATATGCAGTGAATGAATATTCCATTTTTTAAAAATTGATTTTTCACTCGTATAGTTTTCCGATAAACCAATGCTCTGCTTTTTTTCAAAAAATATAGGTAGATGCCACTTACAATTCAATCTTATATATTTTTCATTCTATAACCGCAGTAGAGAAAATATGTGCAGAGTTGGATGATTATATAATCTTGACGTACATAATTGGTTATTTTCCATTTTTTCGTACTGTGTTTATGCAATTAGACATAATGAATGTATTATATTATTCCAATTAATTAATTTTTAATGTATTTAGAAAGGAATACAAAAAAACGTGATCGATCAATTTCTTATTTCAAAACGTATTTTTTATATTTTTTCACTTTTTTTGTCAGTTAAAATTTTCGTGATCGCGGTATTATTAAATAAAATTCCAAAGTAAAACAAAATATTCGTTATTTATTGTCTGAATTAAGCAAATGCTATTCTTATTGCATATTTCATACATCTTGTCGATGTTTCATACGTATTAGCTTGTTTGATATCTTGTTCGTTTTTATGGAGCGAACCTTTATTATTATTT